TCACAGATAGATTAAATTATTTTCTCCAAAAATGTGTTTTCTATTAGGTTGATGCAAAACAAAATCCAAGATTTCGGCTGCTTGATCTTTATGCAAAAATTTCATAGTAAATCTTATATTATAAGGTATGCAATTTTAAAGCTTATTTTATGCTTATTCTTACTACGCAGTTGGGTTTAAAATATAAATTGCATTTGTGTGAAATTTTTAAGATGTAAAACTGTTATAACAAGATTTTCACCAAATCTACCATTATGAATTCAAATTTGGCTGCAGTGCTGCCAAATAGCTCAAAATAACAATAAAGTTTTGGGCAAGAAAAACGTCACTGAATGCACAGGGCAATGTTGGTTTCAATGATTCTGCCAAAGTTGATTCTAACTCAAAGATAAGAAAGGTCTCGGGCAGCCATCAGAAGTCAATAACCAATGACCAGCAGAGGGCGATACAGAAGGTAATCAATCCCCTCAAAACTACACAAGAAATCACAGAACACAAAGGCTATCTATCATTCTCGTCATTTGGAGCAAACAGAAAAAGTGGACAAGCTCGACAAATGGTTACCATAATAATTCAAAGAAAATCAAAGCAAATGACATTATGAAGCCTAATCTGTGTCCCTTTTGTGAAATAAAACGATCCATTTCTCAACTGCATTGTAAAAGATAAAAATTGGATCTTCTACAACAACTGATTTGGAAGCAGGAGTGGCATCCACTTCCTAAACAACATGCCTCTGGAAACACTACGAATTTTGATAAATGATGATAGTTGTTGTTATGTGCCGTCGAGTCATTTGCGACTCATAGCAACCCTATGTACAACAGCCCTAAACCCTGCTCTATCCTGTGCCAATCGCATTGCCTCTGACACACCCATCCCGATTACCCCAGTCACTGAATCAATCCACCTCTTAGAGGGTCTTCCCTTCCTGCACTGTCCCTCTACCCTACGAAGCATGATGTCCCTCTCCAAGAACCTGTCTTTCCTTACAACATGTCCAAAGTATGTCAGACGAAACCCCAGAATTCTTGCCTCCAAGGAGTAGCCTGGTTTAATCCTGTCTAGGATAGATCTGTTTGTTTTCTTGGCAGTCCATGAAACATTCAATACTCTTCTCCAGCACCACAGCTCAAAGGCGTCAATTCTCCTTCTATCCTCCCTAGTCATTGTCCAACTCTCTGAAGCATAACAAGTGATTGCAAAGACCATGGCCTGTATCAGGTGCACCTTAGTCTCCAGGGAGACACCACTGCTCTTCAGTACTTTAGAGAGGTCCCTAACCGCAGACTTTCCCATCGCAATACGTTTTTTTAAATTTCCTGGCTGCTGGTGCCAAGAGTGTTGACCGTGGAACCGAGCAAACTGAAGCTGTGAACAATCTCAATCTCTTCACCATCCATCCTGATGCTACCGACTGGTCCAGTGGTGAGAATCTTTGCCTTCTTGACATTGAGCCTCAGTCCATAGTGAAAGCTGCAGTCCTTGACCCTCTGCAGTAAGTGCATGGGGTCCTCCTCAGTTTCAGCAAGCAGGGTTGTGTCATCTGGATAATGCAGATTGTTAACAGATCTTCCACCAATCCTAATGCCACGCTTCTCCTCATAGAGCCCAGCCTCTCGGATAATCTGCTCTGCATACAGGTTGAAAATGTATGGAGATAGGACACATTGGTGGCATACACCCTTCCCAATTTTGAACCATGCAGTGTTGCCCTGCTCTGTTCTGACTACTGCCTCTTGGTCCAAGTATAGGTTTCGCATTAGCACGATTAAACGTTCTGGGATTCCCATTCTTCTCAGAGTCAGCCACTGTTTGTTATGATCCACACAGTCAAATGCCTTTGCATAATCAATGAAACACAGATAAGACATGCTTCTGGTATTCTCTGCTTTCAACTAAGATCCATCTAACATCAGCTACAATATCCCTAGTACCACGACCCCTTCTGGACTTCTGGCAGTTCTCTGCTGATGTACTGTTCCAGTCGTTTTTGGATAATCTTCCGTAGAATCTTGCTTGTATGTGAAATCAATGAGATTGTTCTGTAGTTTCCACACTAGTTGGGTCACCTTTCTTTGGAATGGGAACAAATATAGATCTCTTCCAGTCAGTTGGCCAAATTCTTCAGGCCTTTTGTTCATAGGGTCGTTATGAGTCTTGCTCAACTCAACAGCAATCAACAACAACTGAGGTTCAGCATGGTGGTTAAAATGGGAGGTGTAGCTCTGAAACATTGCCCCAAACCAAGTTTACATCAAAAGGATGTCACGGTGACTATCTGGTAAGCTATAGTCTGATCAATCCACTACTACTTTTTGAATGGATGTGAAACTTTAACAGCAGACAAGTACTACAATGAAATTAATTATTTTAAATTAATTTGAACCCAGTAATGGTCAACAGAGAAGGTCCAACCCTTCTGCAGGGCAATGTTTGACCAAATGTCATACAACCAGCACAGCAAAAGCTCAACAAATTGTGCTACAAAATTCTGTCTCATGGAGCATAGTCACCAGACTTCCTGCCAACGTATTACTACATCTTCAAGTACCTCAACAAGTTTTCACAAGAGAAATTCTTCAACAACCAGATGCTAGCAAACATACTTTCAGAGAATATGTAAACTCCAGAATACCAGAATTTTATGCTTACCAGAATAAACAAACTTGGATCTTGTTAGCAAAAATGTGTAGACTATAATGGTTTTTATTTCTATTAATAAAGTTAAGTTTAAACAGAATTGTAGAATTTCGAAGTTGAGTTTTTATAACCTGCTTTAATTTTGTGACAACCTAAGAGATTCCACGCCCTAATTCCTATGTTTATAATCACATTTGAGAATCCCATTTCCTTTGTTATAATAGTATAGTTTGTGTTTTAAGTCAGTCTCTTAAAAGAGATTAAACAAGAACAAAAAGAGAGGAAAATAAGACAAGAAATCCAGGCCGTAAAGAGACAAAGACCTTCTGCAGAGTGGACAGAGAGAGCCTTCCCCTAGAGCTGAAGATCCAAATTCATACCTACAAGTCTTTGAAATGGAGAAAACGTCTATGTCTATTCATGAAAGCCACCTACTTGTGGCATTTCTATTACAGTAGTAGTAGACATCTATCTATCTAGCAGAAATATTAAAAGCAGATTCAAATTCCAACTACACCACACAAAATTATTGTGAACTTCAAAAAAATAACTTTTAAAAACCTCTTATTCTCAAAAAATCCCCAAAACCTCTATCACTTTTCTCATCAATGATATGAAAATAGAATACTTAGTTTGAAGTACTATCATGAAAATAAAATATGTAAAGGGGTCATCTTATATGTTTTTTCTTCTCTCCTGTAATGCTATATTCAAATAAATACAAAGTTCTATCCTTTTTTGTTGTTGTTCTATGTATTATAACATTAATCTCCCAATTTCTCTCCTCAGCTTTGTCCCCTCTACCAATTGCCCTCCTTTCTTAGTTAAAGATTGACTCCTCCAGGCAGGAGAACAGGAAATGAGCACTGTAGGAAAGAAATTCTGCACAGATTCAAGAAATTTTTAAATAGTCAGCTGATCCTTTTAAAAATATAAATCTGATACACAACTCCTTCAACTAAAATTGCAGCACTTCAGCTTGATGGAAAAAGCCCTTCAAATTCTGGCCTCAACTTTGTAGCCACTTTTTTTAATCTTCATTATATTCTAGCCATACTAAGTAATTTGCAATAATGTGGGGGGCGGGGATCAATATAAACCTGTAATGTGAATCCACACTCTTAAATTTTTTTATCCTCTTAAGAGGTATTTCTGAATGTGAAATGAATTCTTTTATATGGATACAAGTTTAACACAAAAAGGGTACAAGAAGCAACATAAAAGGTATGTTCGAAAAAACAACTATGAGATATCATCTCACTCCAGCAACAAATGCTGGCGAGGTTGTGTAGAAACTGGAACTCTTATTCACTGCTGGTGGGAATGTAAGATGGTGCAACCATTGTGGAAGGCGGGGTGGCGCTTTCTCAAAAAATTGCAAATAGAGATACGATTTGACCCAGCAATCCCATTACTGGGAATATACCCCAGAGAGACCATCTGCCATCTAAGCAGATATATGCACACCCATGTTTATCGCAGCTTTGTTTATAATAGCAAAGAGTTGGAAGCAGCCTAAGGGCCCATCAACAAACGAATGGATAGAGAAGCTGTGGTATATCCACACAATGGACTACGCCACATTGAAAAACAAGGAACTCATGCAATATTCAAAGTGGGTGACCCTGGAGGACATTATGCTGACTGAAATATCTCAGTCACAAAGCGACAAATACTGCATGGTGCCACTGTTGTAGAATGGGTCTGACATCAGGGTTGGGGTATGACAGAAAAAAACTGGATAAATTATGTATATTGTATTGAAACAGATGAGGAAAAGAACAGATTAGAGGTGATATATGATTGAGTATTATGGTTAGCACAGGAATCCAGAATTAAGGTTGCATAGAGAAGTGTACTCAGGGTGGGGGGGGGAGGGGAAGGGATGTGGGAATTTCTTTTCAGAGGGGGGAGCGAGCTGGTAGGGAGGGGTGGGCAGGGAGAAAAGTGCGGCAATGAATGAATGGAAATACAAAACCTCTGTAAATGTCTATTAAAATTAATAATAATAAAAAAGGTATGTTCGAGCATCTCCAACAAGATGTCAGTGATTGGACAAGAACTAATTAAATAAATAAAAGATTTCTTTAAATACATTTATAATTATGAAAGTATCAATTATTACAGACAGAAGGAAAATAAATAATACTGTTCAGATAATCAAAACCCAAACTCACTTTAGTTAAACCTGTTTATCGACCCTCTATGAGGTTCTGAAGTCAAAGTTATAAACTGTAACAGGAGGAGAGTGCTCATCTTTCTCCTGAAAAGCCTTCAGGTTAGCAGAGCAACTCCAGCCCCACTCATAAGGACCAGGTGATAATAATTACTCAAAATTAATATAAATGAAAACTTACTTTCCAAGCTAAACTGCAAAGACTCTTCACTAGGCTCGGTTTCTGGGCTGACTAGTTTCATTCTTAAGCATAATTTGTCATCTGTTTCTGGGGCAGCCTCAGAATCTCCTTTTTCATTCCCAAGGATGGGATCATTGTTCTCTACCATGCTTTCAGACATGACATCATTGGATGGTACAGTGCTCTCTGGGTATTTGCTAATACCTGAAAGAAAGGAGGCAGGAGGAAGAAAGAAAGAAAGAACACTAAAATACAAACATGAAACACAGCAATGCAAGGTCATCAATTTGCCTCTTTTTGACTCCACAGCTCTGTAGGATTGAAAGGGTTCCTAGGATAGATCCTGTCACAAGTATCAACAACTACGCACTAATATTGACACCTGGTCTTAAGAGGAGCAACAGGATTCAGTTCCACTTCTGCATCTGGACAAAGGATGCTGCATGAGCCCTCAGCCAACCCACATCTGCCAGCATCAGGCATAGGTAGCAGGAAACTCCAGACGGCATGAATGTTACCTCCCAGCACTGACTAGAGAAAACAAACAGGTTAATGTAGAAAGACTGTGGGATGCTGCAAAGAAGGAGGATCTAAGTTTTCTTGCCCAGTCAAGCAGCAAACTGACTGATTAACCAAGTTATTGAATAAACAGTACTTATATCCTACCTGCTGTCTCTTCCTTAATAAAACTCTCAGATTCTATTTAGCACACAGATTCTATCTTCCTGTCACTAAAAAAGATCATCACAAATATTCTTTCTTCCTTCCCACCACCCTTTCTTCCCTCTCATCACCTCTCAATATGTCCTAGGGGTAAACTCAAAGAGGGAGACACAATAGCCTTATTCAGCATGAGATAAAATTCAACCTTAATCAGTAAGGTTCATGAGATCTAAAAATATCACTTGTATATGAGTGACATTTCAGAATTTCTGTCTTAAATATTGTTACTTTTAACCACTCACCAATAGGAGTGCTGTGTCTCTGGGGCTCCAATTTAATAAGATGCCCAATGAGCGGTGGAGTTGCGCCAGTCAAGGGTGGAATAGTATCACCTTGTTTAGGCAAAGTGAAATGAAACGGAGTTTCTGAAAAACAAATAGCAAAATAATGATAAAGAAACCAAACCAAAATAGAAGTATAAAATAAGCAAAACTGAAGAGGCAACAAGAAATAGTTCAATCACTTACTCTTTTCCTCTGCTCTCAAATTCTCTTTCCCAGTCTCTATCACTACCCCTCCCAATCAATTGCTTACTACTACTCTTTCTGCTCACATTTCTCACATTAGTCTAGTCATCAACAAGACTGACACAGTGAAGTCAACCAAGAAAAAGCAAACAGAAGCCCAAAGTTAAGCAAGTATGATGTGGTGGGTATGGGTAGGTGGGTGGGGGAAATCAATGTTACAAAAATTGGAATAAAGTTTAGAAAATATAATTTTGTGAAATGCAAGCCCAAGAAGGACATAAGCCTTTATCTTGTGTAGGATCATCCTAAAAGAAGTCTGATATTAATAAATGTAACTTAAAATATATTCCTTTTGATGCAAAGTATCACATGGCTAAAGGACTTTAAATGCCTCACTGGTTCTAACACTACACTATGGTTATAGCAGAACTAGCCAGGATTCACTCTTGGCTAGAAAAGAAATGTTGATACCTAAAACTCTGTCCAATAGTAAATCTCACTTACATAGGATTCCCAACAATGGTAGTGGATGTCAGGTGCCATAAAGTCAACTATGTAACTCACGGCAACCCTCTCAATAATAGATCTGAACCCTGCTCTATTCTATGCCACCCTCATTTATCTGTTGGTGTTCTCACACCCTTTGTTAAACTCACTGTGTTAATCCATTTTGGTGAAAGTCTTTTTCTCTTTTAACCTCTCACCATTCTCAGCATGTCTTTTTCCAAGGCCTAGTCTCTCCTGACAACATGCCCAAAGTAAGTGAAACAAAACTTCACCATCCTTGCCTCTAAGGAGCAATCAGGTTGCTTTATTTGTTCTTTTGGCAGTCCATGGGATATATCTGTGGTCAGCTCAACTCACTATAAGCATAAATCATTTGCCAAGACATAAAATGTTACTTTTTAAATAGGGCCAAACTCAAGTTCCAAATCTTTCCTATTCAGAATTGACAAACTCTCAAAATCTTATTTTCTGTTTCTCAATTTTTTAGGTCTTTAATTAAACAACTGTGCTTGGGAGGAAAAAAATATATGCCAGGCTGCTCTTCTAAAGCCAAATATATTTAATTTTGAGCTTATTTTCTTGGATTACTTAAAAATATCTATAATCTTACATACCTAGCCACTACTCCTTGTGAACTAACCTTTACTTCACACATCTTTTTCTATTCCATTCTGTTATTTGTAATATCAAGCACCTTGGTGAGTTTTTCTTTTTTGTCTTTGTCAAAGTTATAGAATAACTTCCTTTATGTACAGATATAAGGAAAAATTAATTAGTAACCTTGAGGGAAATAAACAGAAAATCAAATAAACCTTGGAAATAAAGGATGAAAGTAGACATACACAATAGGGAACTGTGAAGAGTGGAGAATATCAATTTCACTATAGTTATAGAAAGCACATCTAACTGGTAAAGACAGGTATCACAATAATGGCAAAGACTTCCACAATAATTAGTGCTCTGGTGGCCAACTCAAAGGCAGGTGGTTCTAATACACCAGTTGTTCCACAGAAAAAAGATGGACAATCAGCTCCAGTGTGATTTACAGCCTCGAAAAGTCCCCTGGAAAGACAGTTATGAGGCAGTTTCACTCCACATCACAGAACAATAGTTAAAGAAATAAAGTATATGTGTCAGACAAGAACTAATTTCTGGAAGTTCATTATAACATACTTTGCTTAAAAAGCACATCCTTTTTGTGCTTATAAAAGAGGAGTTAGAAGGGATATACAAAAAAGGGGAATAAAACCTCTCAAGACATTACAAATTTCAAAGACACACTTTATAGAATTTTCATTCCTGAAACATTCAAGAGTGAAAGATTGTCTGTATTACTCTCATTACAAGAATTATCCTTCATATTATGGCTGACAATCCAGATCTTTGGGAAAAAATGTATGAAATTATTAAATTATCATGTGAGAGCCCATATAATACAAATGTAATACTAAAAGCAATGACTGCTGAAAATTATCTTCCTATACTGATTTCCTTTGCACAGGACTGGACAAAATTTATGAAAAGTTATTTTAATACCATTATCTAACTGCACCACTACAATCTAATGAACAGCCTTGTTATTTATAAGACAGATTTATGGCATCCACATGTATAATATAATGAAATGCAGCCCAGTCCTGCACCATCTGCATGATCTTTGATACTTTTGAGTCTACTTCTGCATCTAAACACACTGACCTTAATTTAATCTCAACTCATAGTGATTCCCCCACTGGGCTTCTGAGGCAACAAATCTTTAAAGACTGCCCATCTTTATCCCACAGGGTAGATTCAAACAAGCCCCATAAGTTACAAACTACACAACTAAGGTTCAGGGAATATAAAACAATCACCTACAGCTCTGTCATTACTCTTATCTGGTCTTTTAATGCCTCATGATTGGACTTTTAGAACAGTTTATAAAACTTTGTTAAAACTATTGTGTGAAAAGAGGGAATAATAAATTTAAGTATAAAACTTCTAAATAAAGAGGAATTCAAGATAACTTTGAAATGAAGTATACTGTTTTAGACTTCGAAATAGAACAGTAACTTAAATAATAATGTCCAAGAAAAACCTTTTCATCAAAATAAAAAGAAAACCAGATTTAGTAAACATCAAAATCGCAATTAAGTGAGTAAGAAAAATCATTAACAAACTGAACTCAGCACAAAAAATCAGATGAGATGTAACAAAGAAATTAGCAACATCACAAAAAAGAGTACAGAAGAATGGAAGCAATAAACCTACATCAGTAATTATACGGCATGGAAATATACCAAATGCATCAATTAAGAGAAAAATGGTAGAACAGTTAAGAAAACACAATCGGTCAAAACGGTCTCAAGCAAACAGCAATCTTAAATAGCAAGAGTGGCAATATTAATCTCTAATAAAAATAGACCTCAAGGCAAAACTAGCGTAAGAGACAAAGAAAGGCATTATATAATGAGCAAAGGGTCAACTTAACAAGAGCACCTAACTATAATTAATAGCTATACATGACCAAGCTGCAAGATACATAAATCAAACTTTAAATGATTTGAAGAAAACTTCACAAACTAGTCAGAGACTTCAACACATTACTTTCAATAGAAGACCAAACAACTAGAAAGAAACTCAATATAGACACAGGAAAACTGAATACAATTACCCAACAGGAACTCACAGACATGTAGAGAAGATTCTACCCAAAAACAGCACAAAAAACCCCCACTATAAAATAAAGACGCTTTAAAATCTCTTTATGAAAACAACATATAAATGTTTAGTACACAGCAAAAGCAGTAATCAGAGGTCAATTTATAACAATAAATATTTCAAAAAAGAAAAGCCAAATCAACACCTTAACCCAGCATCAACATTAATTAGAAAAGAAACAACAAGCAAAGCCTACAATCTCCAGAAGAAGGAACTAATAAAGAACGTAAATAAATGAAACAAAAAACAGAAAAGAAGACATCTGAGTAGGTAATAAACACTCCCCTGTAATCCTGGTCCAAATTCTATCATACATTTAGAGGAGTACTTGACACTAATTCTACTCAAAACTATTTCAGAATACAAGAACAGAATATTCCTGAACATATTCGATGAAGCAAGCATAACCTTGACAAAATTCTCAACAAAATCCTGTTCAGTAGAATACAACATCATATCCAAACAAATCACTCATCATGATCAAATGGGATTCATACCAGATATGCAAGGATGGTTCACCTTAGAAAAACAATCAATACAATCTAACAAATAAATAAAAGAAAAACTCAAATTATCACAACTGATGTAGAAAAGTTACAAAATTCAACAATGTTCCCCAATAAAAATGTTCAACAAAATGAGAACGAAGAGTAAATTCCTCAACATCATTAAAAGCATATACAAAAACAAGAAGCAAAATTATTCCCAATGGAGACAGACCAAGGGCATTCTCTTTGGGAATGGGAAGTGGAGATAAAAATGATTACCTTTTATTGCCACTCCTATTAAGTACGAAGAACAAAAAAACCAAAGGATTGTCAGAAGGAACTCTTGAAAATTGCACTAGAGTTCTGAGAAGCCAAAACGAATGGGAGAGGTGCCAAAGTAAAAACAGATGAACAAAAGATTTCAAAGGGCAGCTTGAGAAGAAAGCAAACTATTATAAAAGAAAGTACAGAGAGCTGGAATTGGAAAACAAAGATAAGAACTTTTTCAAGCTGAAAGAACTAAAAAACAAATTCAAGCCTCAAACTGCAATACTACTGAGAGATGTTATGGGCAAAATAGTGATCCAGGAAGCATCAAAAGAAGGTGGAGGGAATAGAAAGAGTTGCTGTGCCAAAAATAATTAGCAAAATATTCCAGAAGTACCATATGATCATTGCCTTAACAGCAGATAACAACAATGAAGGAAGAAGTTCAAATTATACTGAAGGCACTAGCAAAAACTAAGACACCCCCCCCGCCGAAGAATAGATGGTATACCCAAGTGACATGTTTCAACTAACAGATGTACATGCTCACCAGTCTATGCCATAGAATCTGGAGAACGGTTAACTGGTTAACTGACTGGAAGAGAATCATTATTTATTGCTATTCTCAAGAAGAGTGATCCAACAGATATGGAAATTATCAAACAATATCATTAATATCACTTGCAGGCAACATATTACTGAAGATCCTCCAAAAATAGCTAGAACAGTACAATGACAACAGCCAGAAGTTCATGCTGGGTTTAGAAGAGACCTTGGCACCAGGGCTGTTTTCAAATGGATCCTAGCTGAAAGCAGAGAATACCAAACAATGTCTATTTGTGCTTTATTGACTATGCAAAGGCATTTGTCTATGTGGATCAAATAACACTGAGAAGAATGGGAACCCAAGAATACTTAATTGTGTTCATGTAAAAT